CTGGCTTCCCTGGGTCACACCGGAAGAAGAAGTGTCTTGGGCCACCCATCAAATAGTTATGAGCCAAAAAAAAAAAAAAATTGCAAAAAATCTCATAACGTTTTAAGAAAGTTTACGTATTTGTGTTGGGCTGTCTTCAAAGCCGTCCTGGGCTGCATGCGGCCGACAGACCTCACATCGAACAAGCTTGATCTAGACCTTATCGTAGTTTAACTACAACTGCAAAATCCTTATTTCCAAATAAGGTTACATTCCGAGGTTTCAGGAGGGACATGCATTTTGGGGAAGACACCCTTCAGCTCAGTGTACTTGGGAATCACTTGGTGGCAAAAGCTTGGCTCACAGGTATGAGCCAAGTCTGAAGGCCGAGAGCGGCTGTGGCTTCCCAGCCTGGTGATGGGAGGACCTGGATCCCCACGGGGTCTCCTGTACTGTCTGGGGCTGTTGAACTTGGCTGCCTGCACCAATGCATTCAGGGACTGTCTGTGAGAACTGCATGCCATCAGCCCAGGTCTGGTATTAGAGGGGCTCCCAGCTGTCAGCCCAGGACTGGCTCAGTGCAGGACTGCAGACTGGAGTGCATCACACGGAAGGTGAGGTGACACCGTGCCTCTGGTGCCTGGGCGAGGGCCTTGCACCTTTCTCCCAGGCTCTGCTTCCTGGTAGAGCAGGTCTGGCTGCTCAGGAAGGGCCCGTCTGGGTCCAGCACGTGGGACTGTGGGTGAGGAGGCGCTCCTGTCCACAGCGGTCAGCTATTTCTGGCCATCGGTCCACGCCTTTCTGGGAACCCTTCCTGTCCCTTGCACGTGCGGCTGATGCAACGGTCCCAACCCCACAGACGCTCTGGGTTTAGAGTGACTCCTTCTCAAGACGAGTGGTTGAAACATCACCAAGTGCTCCTTGGGCTGCGCAAGGGAACCCTGGAGCCCATGCCCCCTCCCAAGCCCACTGGGCCGCTCTGTGTTCTCACCTTCCTGTTCCACAGTTGGTGGTGGGATTTGCGCTGCTCCTGGTTCCCCACCCCCATTTGTCCTCAATGGACTGTGGGTCAAGACACCCTGGAAGGCAGGGTGGGCCTCCCGTGCCATCCTCTGTTCCTGTACAGAGGTCACTGCGTTTGCCTCCCCAAAGCACCGACATTCAGGTCGTGATGACTCAGGAAGGGTCTGCGAGCCTCTCTCGGGGAGGCAGGAGGAAGTTCTGTGCAGAGGGAGGGGCGGCACCCGCGGCAGCTGCAGACCGAGAGACAGCTGGGCAGCAGGGTGCTCCTGGGAGGCGTGCGGCCCGGGGCCACCCAGGGGTGCTGATTAGCAAGACTCCTACCTGCTTCCTCCATCGGACCATCTGCTTTGTGAGTAACTGAGTGACAATACCAGAAAACCGAGCAGTGATGCAGATCCTATAACCTGCACGTGCCACATCAACTCTGAGTTTCCTGTGGGGCGGTGAGTTAGTAGTGCAAAGCAGTCTGTGTTATGGCCTTACCTGCCCCTCTGCACGTTGGGAGGCTGAGGCGGGCGAATCACTTGAGGTTAGGAGTTCGAGACCAGCCTGGCCAACATGGTGAAACCCCGGTCCTACTAAAAATACGAAACTTAGCCAGGCGTGCTGGCGTGCGCCTGTAATCCAAGCACTTTGGAAGGCCAAGACCGACGGGTCACCTGAAGTCAGGAGTTCGAGACCAGCTTGGCCAACATGGTGAAACCCTGTATCTACTAAAAATACAAAATTTAGCCAAGTGTAGTGGCATGCACCTGTAATCCCAGCTACTCGGGAGGCTGAGGCAAGAGGATCTCTTGAGGCTGGGAGGTGTAGGTTGCAATGAGCTGAGGTCACACCACTGTACTCCAGCCTGGGTGACAGCAGTGAAACCCTGCCTCAAAATAAAATAAAATAAATAAAATAAAATAAAATAAAACAAAATGTGCTGACCTTCACACCTCCCATCTGGTGAACTTGTACTCATCCCTCAAGACCTAGTCAGATTTCAGCCCACTCTGCCAGCTCTAATCATACTGCACCGCAATTCATGCTTGAAGGCTTGTTCCTCCTCGCCAGCCTGTGAGCTCTGAGGGCAGGGGCTCCGCCTGATGTTCTGGGGCTCCCGCATCTGCAGGCCGAGTGCCTGACCTGGGACCCAGGCTCAGCTTGTGCTCCTTCCATGCATGTGACAATGACCGTGTGTCTGGGAGGTGAGAGGTTGCAGCCCCGGCATGGGGGACCAGACTGTCTTCTTCTTGGACCCATCCAGGAGCCCCTGCCCTTCCCTCAGACACCAGTGCACAAAGCCCAGGGCTGGAGGGATTTGCAGGGCTCTCAGGACGGCCCACACAGCACACAGCTGAAGAGGCTGCTGCAGGGATGCGGGATGCAGCTCCCAAGGAGGAAGGGGAGAGTCCTGCTCACCCCCAGGTCTTGGGCTGTCCAGGGCAGCCACCTGTCTGGGTGGGGCCCGACGCCCAGTGCCCCATGGCCTACAGCTCTGACAATAGCTCTGCTTTATCTCTGGAACTTGAACTCCCCCAGGGGAACAGGGAGGCTGGGGATGGCGACGGGAATGCGGGCTCTGGAAGGCAGGGTGGGCTCTCCCGTGCCATCCTCTGTTCCTGTACAGAGCCCAGGGCTCCTGGGGAGGGGCCTCCTAGAACAGAGAGAGGGGTCACACACGGGCCTCTGCATCCCCCTCTCCAGAGGCCCAGCCAAAATCCCAGGTCTCTGAGAAACCTGTGCGTCTCCACCTGCCGGGACCCAGCTCTGGCCCCCTCGCCATAGCCGTTGCTCCTACCAGGAATTCGCTCCTCTGACGTCGTGGCTGATCCAGCACACCCGGCAGGTGGTCAGTGTGTGTCCCAGGCACCTGACTGGGCTGTGCAGCACCACTTCATGCTGTCCTGTGGGGTGAGCACCCTGCGACAGGTAGGGAAACTGAGGTATAGATGGGAAGTGGCTTGCCCGAGGTCAGGCAGTGCAGGACTTGGGACCCAGTCTCGGCTTCACCATCTTAACTCTGACATGATCCCGTCTCCCTTTGCGGGGAAGACTTTTCGAGGACAAGAATGTGTCACCTTTGTTATTCCTTCCCGAGCCCTAAACCCTGGGTGTGGGCAGTAGGGGCTCAGTCAACATTTACAGAGTTAATCCAAAGCAAACCCCAGAACGGTTCTCGGTGCTGGCCGCAGAGAAGAATCACAGGCGGCAGAACCACCCTTTGGGGCAGGGCCCAGGCATTGATATTCTCCCCACTCCTGGCAATTTTGAGTGCAGCAGGTGGAGACCACAGCACCTGCCAGATCATGGCCCGGAGGGACAGCAGTCTGCTCCTGGGGTGTTTGCACCCTCCTGGAACTCAGCCCTGCACCACGACCTGGCCTGGCCTCTGGGTATTATGAGCAGTGGGAAGGCAGAGAGCTCTCACCAGATCCCCCAGGATTTCCCCTACAATGACCTTTATAATAACATGAAAATCCTGCTGTCCATGCATGAACCTGGGTTCACTGTCTCCCAGAAAAAGTGAGTGCCCTGACAACAAGGCAGACAACGCTCTTTCCTTCTTCCTCCTTCACTGGCCTCAGCAGGGGCGGCACACCAGAGGTGAGGGGCCCTCAAATCCATCCACAAAGGGCTTGCGGAACACAAGGCAGGGCCCCGGAGTCACACGGCGGGACACATCCTGGTGCCCAGCACATGCGCCTTCGGGCTCCCATGGGTCACTCAGGGAAGGGTAGTTTGTGGACGCGCCCTTGGCAGTGCAGAGCCGCCCTGCACACACCACCAGGGACCCCAGTTGGAGGCTAAATCTGAGCGGCCAGGCGCTCCCATTTCTCGGGGTAATAAACCAAGTCCACCCTTCAGACAGACAAAGGCTCCTGGAAGGATCAGTGGGGGTCATCAAAATGCCTCCCTGGAAAAGAAACACGGAGAACACAAAATCTAGGAACCCGTTTTCCTGGAATGAGATTAGTCTCTTGCCCACAACCAGCCAGTGCCCTGCAGGAGGTTAGGGGGTTGGGGGGTTCTGTGGATGCCAAGGGCGGAGGCTTAGGGTCCTGGGTTAAATGGACCTGCGTTAAATACTGGCTATACCAGGGATACTGGAGTAACCTCCGACAGGCACCAGAAATGTTGAGTCTTAGTTTCTTCCTCTGGAAAATGGATATAATCATCGCTGTCTCATCGGATATGTTGTTACAAAACAATTCTTCAGATGTAGCCTTCAGTTTCTAAAAGAGCACACCGGGCAAAGGTGGAGAGTCAGTTCCTGTTTGTGTTAAGAATGTGGCTGGGTGCAGTGGCTCACGCCTGTAACCCTGACACTTTGGGAGGCCAAGGAAGGCAGATCACTTCACTCCAGGAGTTTGAGACCAGCCTGGCCAACGTGGCGACAGCCGGTCTCTAAAAAAATACAAAAAATGAGCTGGACACATGCCTGTGGCCCAGCTACTTAGGAGGCTGAGGTGGGAGGATCACTTGAGCCCCACGGGGGCGGGGGTCTCAGTGAGTTGAGATTGCACCACTGCACTCCAGCCTGGGTAACAGAGCAAGACCCTGTCTCCCCCCGCCCCCCCCCCTCAAAAAAAGTGCTTAGATCCAGAGAGAAAATCTCTGGAAGGATACCTAAGAAAGTTCACAATAGATGCCTCTGGATAGGAGAGGCTGTTTTGTATTATTTGATTTTAAAAATCAATTACGTGTGCCATGTTTTTATTAACATATTTTCAATCAATTCATTTCATCCACTTATTAAAATGTAGTTAATAATTTTTAGGGGAGAAAGCAAAAAAGAAAGACAAGAAATCTCTGTGTTTCAGGAGTTGTGAGAGTGCCGTCTCCAAGGCTGATCTGGGATGGAGCAGGCTGGGGCTCTCTTGTCGTGGGACCAGGGGTGTTCTGAGGGCTCCTGGCTGGGAGGCTGAGATGGACACCGTGTGCTGGTCCTGCAGCCCCACGTGGCTCCCACACCCTGCACCAGGCCAGGCTAGGAGGGTGATTAACACACGTCTGCTCCCCAGCAGAGGACCCGTAACCAGAACTGAAATCCGCCCTCACCGCTTGCTGCCAAAACAGTGGAGGCTGAACTGACCTCTCCCCTTTGAGAGAGAAGAACTGTCTGGGAGCTTGACAAAGGCATGCAGGAGAGTCCAGGAGCAGCCAGAGCCAGGAGGGAGAGCCCTCCCCAAGCAAACAATCCAGAGCGGCTGTGCAAACACCGGGACATAAATGAGGCCTCCTGGACCATGAAGTGTGTCCTGAGCTGCATCCCGGAGCCCACGGTAGTCATGGCGGCCAGAGCACTCTGCCTGCTGGGGCTGGTCCTGGCCTTGGTGTCCTCCAGCTCTGCTGAGTACGTGGGCCTGTGTGAGTACCGCTCTGACTGCCCCGGTAGCAGGGTGGGCGGGAAGGGAAGGGATCCAGGATAAGGGGGGATTCTGCATTCATGTAATAATGGCCACCTGTCACATATACACTTTTTCCTGCGCTATCCTATGAAGTGGGTGTTTATTGTCCCCATTTCACAGACAAGGAAACCGAGGCTCAGAGAAAGTTAACAACTTATCTAAGGCAGCTCTGCCCAGTCTGTGTTGAAATCAGGCTTTGAGCCTGAGCCCATCCCCTATGACCCCGTAGCCATCTTTGCCGGAGATTTCTAAATTACAGTATAGGTCTTTATGCATTGTTTTCACATTTACAAAGAAAAAGGAAAGATGCGGGAGAAAAACCCTGACTTCAGAATACTTTCAATACCTACCGGCACAAGGTTCATTTAGCCATTGCATAGCAACCCTGCGGCGGAGGCGTGGCTGCTCCATTAACCCAAGTTTGAAGGAATGAGGGTACGGCTTTTATCCGGGCGTCTTCTGAGCAGGGTCAAAGGCAGGGGTTCCTGAACTCGCAGCCCATTAGAATCACCTGGAGAGCTTTAAAAATCCTAATGCCTGGGGCACACCAGTTACCCCAGGGCATCTGCGGGTGAGAGCCAGGCCTCAGTTGTTTTTCTTTAAAGACAGCCTCGCTTTGTCACTCAGGCTGGAGTGCAGTGGCACAATCTCGGCTCACTGCACCCTCCGCCTCCCAGGTTCAAGCAATTCTTGTTCCTCGGCTTCGAGCAGCTGGGATTACAGGCGTGCACCACCAGGCCCAGCTAATTTTTTGTATCTTTAGTAGAGACGGAGTTTCGCTATGTTGGCCAAGCTGGTCTTAAACTCCTGGCCTCAAGTGATCCTCCTGCCTTGACCTCCCAAAGTGCTGGAATTAGAGGCATAAGCCACCATGCCCAGCCAACGTCAGTCATTTCTAAAGCTCTGCAGCTGATTCCAGTGTGAGTGAAATTTGGACGCGGTGAGGATAAGCAATTACAGACTGGGAGCAATAGAAGGGAATTTAAGAGACCACATGATATCTATTTTCCTAAGGAAATACCCAGTTCATTAATGAAACGAGGTGAACTTCTGCTGCACACACAGACATAGAGGCTTGCCTGAAAAATGAAAATACTGGGGACTGAAGGATGTCCAGGGAGGGTGGGACATGCTCAACAATTCGGGGAAGGGAGATGCAGAAAAAAATGAAAAGCAGGCAGCATGCGTTGCAACGATCTCTATGGCACGTGTGTCTCCCATCGCGTTTTTCATTTAAAACAAAGGGGCAAGGTTTTGTTGGTCAAACAGTGAAGGGTAACTTTGTTTCCAGGTTCAGGGGACCCTGGATTCCCCAGGGGTTCCTGCCAGCTGGAAGGGACCCAGGTCCGTATGTGACTTCCTGAGAAGGTGATAAGAGCGTGCCAAGGAGAGAGACACTTAGGCAAATGGCCCGAGTCCCCAAGTTTAGCATTTAACAGACTGCTTCTCTTTAAATATTCACAGGGAAAGCCCATCTTCCTAAAGGCAAGGGTTTCAGCTGTGGTTGAACTCAGGCGGTGGGAGCGGGAGGATGCAAATTTGCACAAGGAAAGCCCATCCTCCTAGGAGTGAGGGTTTCAGCAGTGGTTGAACTCAGGAGGGGGCAGCAGGAGGATGCAAATATTCACAAGGAAAGCCCATCCTCCTAGGAGTGAGGGTTTCAGCAGTGGTTGAACTCAGGAGGGGGCAGCAGGAGGATGCAAATATTCACAGGGAAAGCCCGTCTTCACTGGAGTGAGAGTTTCAGCAGTGGTTGAACTCGAGGTGGGAGCGGGGGGATGCAAGCTTGCAAAGTGAAGCAAACATACTCACTGCAGCCCAGTAAGGGCTCTGGCAGCTGACAGGGCTTTGTTTGGGACAGCTGCAAACCAGTGTGCCGTGCCGGCCAAGGACAGGGTGGACTGCGGCTACCCCGAGGTCACCCCCGAGCAGTGCAACAACCGGGGCTGCTGCTTTGACTCCAGCATCGTTGGAGTGCCTTGGTGCTTCAAACCCCTGCAGGAACAAGGAGGTAAGGCCTGAGTGACAGCATCGTGGTCTGGGCCTGGCCCCATAAGGCCGGGAGTCTCAGGGCCTCCCTGTCCTTTCTGGGCTGGAGATGGAGGCACGAGGTCCCCGGGAAGCCACACACACCTGCACCAAGGCCTCAGAGCACAGGCTTCAAGCCCAGGGCAGCCATGGCCAGGGGCTGTCCTCTTTTGTCCCCTTTGTGTAAAACATAAAAGCAATCATTTCAAAAAGGTGTTCAAAATGATGGCGTTATGTAGAGGAAACTAATTTAATAACTATTCTTGAGAGAAGTGGAAACACATAGGTGTGGAAAGCCAGGCTGACTTTCAGGCTGTTTTTGCAAACCGGTCCCCCACCAGAGTCTTGTCATTTGTGGCATCCCCTCCACAGATGGCAGGCAGCGCCAGCCCTGGGCGTTGGGCCTTGGTGCCACACCCCACTTCCCCCACTCTGCCCTCCACAAGGGCCATCTCCTCTCCCTCTCTCTGCCATGGTGGAGGGCAGGTGCAGGGCAACCACCCTGGGGGTTCCCTCCCCAAAGGCGGAGAGCCTGCGTGCTGTACAGGTAACAGATGGCCCTGCACACGGGTTTGCCGCCCTGGCTCCACCAGGCTCAGCTGCCCCACGTCGTGGGTGGGGCGATCGGCTATTAGCCATCTGCCGTGTCCAAGTGCCAGCTCAGCCCCCACGAAGGCCGCACCTGTGTGAGGTACCTTCCTGGAACCAGCATGCAGAGGGGCCTCTCTTGCCCTTTGTCCCAGGGTGAAACGCGGGAGGCTGAGTCCTGCTGGCACTGGCTGCCTGATCAATGATAGACCCCTGCCCTGCCCAGGGCCTCCCTCCACCCTCCCCAGCAAGTCCAGGGTGGGGGTGGGGGTCCAGAGAAGGCCAGGAGAGAGAGGGGTCTGTCAACTGTCCACTGCCGGTCCTGTTCCTTCGGCTCCTCATCCTGGAACTACACTCTCCTCTCTGAGTGCCAGCCACGGCCCTGCCAAGGCCCATCTCACTTGTTATCTGCCTGACCCCTGGGTCCCACTATCTTGCTTAGCAACCCAAGGTGGGAATCTTGGCTATTCCCCCATGTGGTGGGGACTCAACACTCCCCGGTGACTCAGGGGAGGAGGCAGCACTAGGCACTGGCCTTGGAACCTGCCTTGACCTTGGGAAGCTGGGCAGCGTGGGTGGAGAGAGACTGCTCACACAGGCCTTTGCTCTGTTTGCAGAATGCTCGTTCTGAGGCACCTCCAGCTGCCCCCGGCCAGGGGATGCGAAGCTCCGAGCACCCTTGCCCGGCCGTGATTGCTGCCGGGCGCTGTTCATCCCAGCTTTTCTGTCCATTTGCTCCCGGCAAGCGCTTCTGCTGAAAGTTCATGTCTGGAGCCTGATGTCTTAACGAATAAAGGTCCCATGATCCGCCCGAGGACAGTTCTTGGTGCCTGAGACTTCCCGCGGTTGTGCTTTATTTCTGCTGCGTCGTGGGAGATGGTGGGAGGGTGTCAGGGGAGGGTCTGCCCAGGCTTCAAGGGCAGGAACAGACTCCCTAAGGAGACACAGTGCATGCAAGGATATTCTGAATCCCAGACTGGCACCCACGTCGCAGGAAAGCCTAGGAACACGTAGCGCCGCTTCCTCGGGAAAGCAGAAAAAATACATTTCAAGTAGAAGTTTTCAAAAATCACAAATGCCTGTCTTGGTGAAGACAGCAAGCCAATAAAACGATCTTCCAAAGTGGTCCTCTATTTCACACCCGCTCTTGTTGCTATTCGATACTTATACTGTTCCTGGGTTCTTGTTTCTTTGTCCAGTAAATTAAACTGGCACTATTTTGTATTTGTTTGCTAATTAAGTTGAAACATCTGTGACACATTGGGTGGCCTTTTCTCTTTTTTTTAAAAAATGGATGCAGCTATAGGCATGAATGAGCTGGTGGCAGTGGGGATTCCATCTCATGTCCTCATGAAACCTTATCCACCTCTGGACCTGAGTGTGGTTCTCTCCCCACCGCACTGACCTGGGACATGGCAGCTCTCCACTCCCACCTAGACGGTTTTGGATGCACAAAGGCCCATGAGTGCCTCTGGCTGGGCCTCCCGTGCTGCTCCCACTGCTGGAGCTCTCTTAGGGGCCAGATCCACAATTCCACTGCAGTGCGGTCACAGTGACGGGGTTCTTGTTCTGAGCTATTTCTTCCCATTCGAAAAGAGACAACTGCTCCTTTAAAACAGCAGCCTTTGTTTTTCAGCTTGCACTTGGGGCCTGGTCCCTAGAGGTCACAATATCCCAAGAAGTGAGGTAGTACTGCCCTTGTCTTACAGATATGGAAAGAGATTTTCTTGAAGTAGCTTGTCCAAAAGTCCCTACGGAGAGGGGACACTGTCAGGATATCCTGGTCTCTGATCTCTGAATCTGAAGCCCTGGGTGTCCCTTCCAATACCCCAAAGCATCAGCTGCCCTCCCTGGAGTGAAACTTCCAGGACTATCCCACACCTCAGAACACACGCCAAGCGTGGCCTCCCCACTCCGGGGCTCTGCTACTGAGAGCTGCTCTGGCCTGGACGTCCTTCTGGGCGGGGCTCTGCATCCCTCTCCCTCACAGACCATGCCCAGTCTTTGAGGGCTAGAGGGGATGGAAAGGCTGGCCCCAGGCCCCCTGGCCTCAGCCTCAGGCCACCTCACTGCTGGCTGGATGACCAGCTCCATTTTCCTCCTACCCAGCCTGGTGCCCTCTCCCCAGGGACAGGGCTCTGCTGCCTCCTTGCCCGGGACTTCACTCATGGGCACCACCCACCTGCATTTCCAAAGAATTTCTTGACTTGCCCCGCCTCTCCGTTCCCGGCATTGCCTTTTGCAGTCAACACCTCCCACACTGCCGTACCCCCTCCCAGACTCCTTCCTGCTGTGCCCCTGAGAGGGAGGGCTACCCCCAAATCTGAGCCAGGTGGGACCCCTCCTTCACCCACCACAGAGCTGCTCCCTGTCTCCAGCCCGAGCCTGTGCCTTCCTCAGACAGGACAATGTTTCATGCACATTCTAGAAGCTTCACCATGACTCCTGCTGTCCTTGTGGGGGGGATCAAGGTCGCTTCCATCCAGTGAAACAGCATCAGATGGAGAGATCTGCTGGCAGGACAGAGAACCCCTATAATTCAGCTGTGCAGGGCAGGCTCCAGTGAGGAAAGGAAAGGGGCTGAGGAGGGCTGGGGTCCTGGAATGAGCTGGACTGGACCCCCGTCCTTCTCCGTCTCCGGGGTCCTGCCTCCGTCTGTCTCTGCCTCTCCTTCGCTTCGGCTTCGATTGCTATGGGGACCTTGGAAGCTCCCTGCCTTCCTCGGGGGCCCCAGGCAGGGTCTGGGGGCTCTCAGAACCCTGGGTGGGGTTTGTGCCATGAGAAAGAGCGCACCGCCCCTGACAGCACCCACCTGGGGGCTGTGACATTCTCATAAGTGATCACAGACACCAATGAGGGAGCAAGACCCAAAGCAGCCCACCCACCCCCCAGCCCGACGGCAGAACGGAAACCTGGTCCAAACACGAAGTGACTAAACAGCGCCCTCTGCTGACCGCTGGAGTCACTGCGGCTCGCCACCAATCACAGCTGTGCCCTGCCACTTCCAGATACAAATTAAGATACCCAGCCCCAGAATTACCCTGGGCTTCCTGTTGGTGAGGAGGATCTGGGCCCCAGGACACATGATCGAAGCCGGGGGTTCCCAGTGGAGGCTGCTGCCACGGGGATGTTTCGGAATCTGTGGGCATGTTCATGAATCATATGAACGGAGAGTTGAGTGAACACAGGCCAGACATGGCAGGAAACTGTGATGTCCCCAGGTGTCCTGAACAGACCACTGCCTCCCCCCGATGGACGTCCTAGCGTCCTGTTGGACACTCATGGTGGCTGCAAACCTATTCATGACGATCGAAGCCCAAAGACTACTTCTGTGTTACATCTTCACACGGTTGTTTTGGTTGTTGGTTGTTGTTTCAAATGGCTTGAACATACCTGAATTTTCCAGGAGTGTATGTCATGTAAATCAAGAAAAGACTGCGTTTGTTTGGTTTGCAGCGTTAGCTGAGTCGTTCATTTCAAGCATGTCAGTGCTGGGGCTGCCTGTGTTCGTGGGTGGCCCATCCAGGGGAATTCAAGCCCTGGTCTCCTTCATCCTGTCCTCTGGTGTGAACATGGGGAGCACGATGCACTGAACAGGAATGTAGTGAACATTACTCTCCTTTTATTTCTTATATTTTCATAGGGCCTCATGCATATTTAATTTCCATCACTGGACATCAGTTGACCACAGCTGTCCAGAGACCTAGTGGCCTCAGTGCCACCTGCTGGGCCTTCCCACCTCCTGGTCTGGGCATATCTGAAACCGACATCTGTCAGCGGCTCAGGGTGAATTCAAATAATGAATTGTGACCCATAGGACCCAGGAACCATTTTTATGTCAAATACCTTCATCACTGACTTGGAAATGGTCCATGTTTCCAGAACCTTCCAGAATGAACACTTTGATTGCCAGAAGAAGCCAGAACATGACTGGGCTCCTTTGCTGCTGGCGTGTGCTGCTGGTGGAAAGGAGAGAGAAAAACTGGACTTCTCCCCACACTGTAGCCATTACACCCCGTGATGGTTTTCCGTGGCATACGTACACCTTCCCCCTCCTCTTGAGTTGGTGGTGAAGGGTGTGGCTGTGGCAGTTTTCCACAGTTCCTCCGGAGTCTGCTGGAAAGTTCTACATTGTTCCATAATACATTGGATATTCACTTGTATTTATCACTGTATTCCAAGGATTCCTAAATTTCCAATGGTGAGGATTTTGGCTTCAAGCGGAGACACCCATGCAGGCTTCCATAAGCAGCAGACCTACTGGGGAACCCCTTAGGGAGGAAGAACAGGCTGAGAAGTTGCCGGCCTTGATGTGGGTCTGATGCCTCTGAACTGAATAGGGGAAGGACTGGGGAGGAAGTGCCTCCAGCAGGCTGATGGGGAGTCCCCAAAGCAGAGTGCCACTCAAGGGACCCTGTGTCTGGTGGGAATGCCCTGGTTGGAAGCAGCCCCAGGGAAGTTGGCCTGGCATGGATGCCATGCCGGACGTGGGGCTCTCGGTGACCTGGGTCCCTGCAGCAGGTCCTCTCTGAGGGACAGCTGAGTGGTAGGCGCATCTCCAGGCGGCCAAGAAGCCTGCCTGCTCACTAGGTTTTTGCTCTGAGGCCCTGCAGTGCCCTGGGCTGTGACACAGCTCTGGAGGTTGAAAATTCTCCCCTCAGTCCTCCTTCGTGGGGGCTCGAGAGGCACGTCATGTATTGGAAAGAGTTAGAGACCCCCGGGGCCTCAAAGTTCCTATCAGCAAAATGGGACAATTGCAATGGCTGTATCGGAGGGTTGCCGATGGCTGCAGAAGGAAGGTGTAGGCTGAGAAAGCTCGTTCCTGTGTGAGCTCAGAGCCGCACCACTCGGTTGGCCAGTTTTCTAGTGCATTTAGAGTTCATGCTCCCTTTCTTCCTTAGGTTCTATTATTTTGTTTTCAGCAACACTGAAGTGTTTTATGCTAAGCGAAAGAAGCCGATCACAAAAAGCCACATGTTGTGTGATTCCATTTATATGAAACGTGCAGAAGAGAGAAACCCACAGCGACAGACAGTGTTTCATAGTTGCTGGGTAGGGGTAGGGATGGGGAGTGGCGGCTCACAGGGAAGGGGTTTCCTTTTGGGGTGATGGAAACGATCTGGAGTGGCATATGATACTGGCTGCACAATTCTGTGCAATATTAGATACTAAAAACAACCAAATCATACACTTTACTAAAACCCACTGAGATGTGTCCTTTACAAAAGTCAATTCTGTGGCAAGCGAATAATATCTCGATTAAGCGCACATCTATACATGTGCTGATACCTCTGCTGATTTGCCCATTTAGACAAGGCCTGACTTTTTGCCCTGAGAATTGAGAGTTTATTTCCAAGGCCATACCGAGCACCTAGGTGTGGCTGGCACGTCTGATCTTCAATGGGTCCTGCCAGGTGGTTGCCAGGCGGCCTTGTTCCCTTCCAGGTGGCTCCCAGGCTCAAGGGTTCTCTCCACCATTCCAAGACCACACTCAGGCACAGGAATCATTCGCTGCTTCTCGCTGTGCAGCTGTCTTTGCCCCTGTTGGCCTGAGCACTGCAGCCTTTCCCTCTTGGGTTTTGTGGGGTGCAGCCGACTCCCTCTGCTCCCTCATCCCACCGACCTGTCTCCCTGGCCTCTGTCCTCTGCAGGGGCAGGTGGGCAGGCCCCCTGGAGGAAGCCCCTGACACCCACATTCATTTATTCACTGCTCTGAGCCTCCCACCCTAGCCCCAGCCCTCACCAACCAGAGGAATTG